GCCTGCGCAAAATAATAATCAGGCAGAAAACGCATAAAATGCATCGCATCGGCCCAAACTACACGGACAGATGGCGCTCTCGCTCATGGGCTCAATCTACGTGAATCTTGAGTGTACGAAGGTGCACTGCATGCATTTGCATCGGCCTAGACTGGTACCCGGTCGACAGTTCCACACGCTACACTCACAGCGTCAGTGCAGCGAGGATACTTAGCCGGAGTGAAGGTGGCGAACGGTACAGTCTAGCATCGGCGCGGCATTTCATTATTACGAAAGTAAATACAGTCGCGTATAGGAACTGGTCACGTCGGTGACGCCCCATTCATGCCATCCCCATCAACGGAGGCGGGGCTTATTCTTATTACGGAAATGCGAAAATGCAACAGAAGTACGTAGCGCAGTGCACTAAGACGGCGTGTTATTTTCGTTTTGTGCCAAACTCTATTGTAGGAAACCGTTATAGCCTAGCAGAATGCCTAGTCCTGAGGATCGGGCGATTTGGTACTGTGATGGGTCCCCACCTATAAAAATTTCAAAGGAGGTGCGGCGTATGGCTGTGATGGAGGACCAGCAAAGTGTCAATCCTCGCTCGCCTCGGCATCATGGACGCATGACGTCATGCAGTAATTTGTTACCATGGTGGCATCGAGTAGCTCTGTATGCTAGAGAAGGGTCCGATACTAAAAAACGTTCGTTGCGTGTTCATGTCAGGAACAGTGAGCGAGTACTGTCAACAGAAAATATGTGACAGAATTCACACTCGGCGGAAAGTTCGAGTGTGAGACTGTAGCAGAAATAGCTCGCACAATGTGACATTTTCGCGAGCTGTATTTTGTCGGGAGGGACAGCGAGGTAAGCAGCTTGATTGAGGAATATTACCAGCTATTAATGACTAATTATTAATCAGCGATTATTAACGAACTCTTCGTAATATAGCACTGTGGCGAGTAACCGGAAACGCTATCAATAGTTTGATTGATTCATAGTTCTTGTTTTGCGCGCGAGAGACGCGAGAAAATTTATTTCCACGTACAAATTGGCGCGACCTACACACTATAAATTCTAGCTTGTCTTTTTTAAGAGGCCATCTTCCTCCTGTCTGCGGTTCTAGTCGTGATCTAGCAGGCACCCCGTTGCTATGCACAGATGCACACGCGCGCGCGCCAGCGCGCACGCACGCACGCGACAGCTCGTACACGCACACGCGCGCACGCGACG